GTCGTCGTTCAAGTATTCCCTGCGCATGTCTGACTGACTGACTGACTGCCTGATTGACTTGGCCTGGACCTGAACCTGGACCTGGGGGCTTGGACTATGACTGAAACGGAGACTGGTATTGGTATTGGGACTCTGAGACTTGGATCGAGCATCAATGAAACTTTGGCGGATGCTGCTGCTGCGGATGCCTCACGCTGCGGCCTAACGGTATCGCGCCAGTCAGACCCAACGAGCCATCGAAGCCAGTTCCCTTTCCCATTCCCATTGCCATTGCTATTCCCCATCCATACCCCTTCCCATTCCCATTGGGGATCTTTCTAATGGCGCACGCATCTGCATCTGCATCGCATTTGCCGCTTCAACGGCCAGCTGAGTGACCATCGAATGGACTGGCAACAGATTTTCCTCCTCTTCGCTTCTCTTTTCCTTTCTTTTCTTACTTGTTTTTCTCTTTTCTTTTTGTCGTCTTCTCTAGCTGTTTATATTTTCTTGTCTTGCGCTGGTGTGCTCTTCTCCTCACCCATTGCTGGGCGCCATGGCGTATGCATTTTTTATGTAAATTGATTTTTTTCTCCTCGACTTGTGCTTTCTTGTGCTAGCCGCGTGGACTGTCATTAGTTATGATGGATGATGTTTGGAATTATTTAAATATATTCAATTAATATAAGCAGACACAACATAAACAACAAGCCAGGCTGAAGCGTTTTTTAATTGGAAAAAGTCAATTAGGCAGAGAAATGCATTGAAATAAATCTTTAAAAATATACTCAAATTATTGCTCATTCGCCCGGTGTCCTGCAACCTTTTGATGTTCGATTTCCATTTGATAATTGAAACATTTTCATCTACACTGTGACACTATTAGCATGTGGAATGCCTTTGTTGGCCTGGGAATAAGTTAATAAAATAATTGAAGTACATGACAGAAACAAGCGCAGTCCGGCATAAGTCCAGCTGCAAGAGCAGCAATGGCAACCAACCACGATGGAGACAACGGTCAACAAGGCGAACAAGGAAAGCGTGAAGCAGACAATCAATAAATTTCTGGCTAAAAGGAGTCGACCTGGCAACAGTGGCAACAGGCAACGGCAATTACCAATTGTAGGACTGCCCTAGACTCTGTCTCTGCCTGCTGACTGCTGCCTGCTGCTCCTCCTCCTACTGCTGCTGCTGCTACTGCTGTTCCTTCTGTTTGGGTTCAATTTCAAAGATTTCTCTTGAAAATTGAATACCAAATAAAGCGCAATAAAACAGAACAAACTTGAAAGAAAATATTGTCGTTGGTAGGTCGAAGCTTTAAATACCCTCTCAGAGCGCTACGTTTACGGAGGATCATGTGGAGAATTTTGCGAAAAAATGCAATCAATAGACATCAATCTGTGAACTCGCAGCATACGGGGAAATTCGGGATTAGTTTGCTGCGTTGCAACCTTCAGGAAAGAGTTGCGGTATCCTCTGGCAGGGGATTTAAACCTAAGACCAGGAAACACAGGACACAGACAAAGAGAGCAGGAGAGAGCGGGAGAGAGAGAGAGACGGACTAGCTGGAATATGATTTACATGCGGCACTAACTTGGGAGCAAGTTGAACTCGATGGAAGCAGTACCAGGAGCTGCAGCAGCAGGCAGCAGCAAAAGCAGCAGCAGCAGCATCAGCATTTGCCGTTCTTTCATCGTTTGGTCGTGCAACGTTTGCCACCTGTTCCTGATCCGCATTTGCGCCTCTTGCCCCCAGATGTTTCTGCTGCTGCCTGCCTCTTCTTGTTTTTCTTTCTCCCGTTATTGTTGCTTGCTTAGCCTTGCCTTGCCTTGCCTTTATATCGTTAGCTAATTTTATTGTTACAATAACTGTTGTTGTTGCTGCTGCTGCCTCTGCTGCTGTTGCAGTTGCTGCTGGCATAAATGGCATTGCCTCTTGATGTTGCTGCTGCTGGTCGCTGCCTGTTGCCTGTTGGCTGTTGGCTGTTGATGGTGGCTATCTCTCGCGTATCTTATGACCGGCCTTGCTTCCACTCGTATCAATTCTATTAAGCTTGGCAGCAAACTCTCCACCTCGCCTGTCCCCCCACCCCCCTGTGGCTCGATTCAGCATGTGACTAATCATGCAGACCCAATCATGCCACAAGTTTATTTATTTTCACGTTGCAACTGCACAGCTTAGAGCAGGGAGAAAAACCAAGCAAAAAGCAAAAACAAAACCAGAAAGAACGAAAAATACAAAAAAAAAAAAAAACTGGGTAATCCACTTGAAAATTCCTCGATTTTTGCTTCCTTTTCGCTCGGCAACCGTACATATAGATTTTCCATTTTCCATTTTTTTTGCTGCTGCTGCTGCTGTCGTTGTTGTTGCTGTTGCCTCCCTGTTATCGCCTGAGTATCAAGGCTGCTGCTTGTTCTCGTTATTGTTCCCTGTTATGTTGGCCCGTCGGACTGTCCGACGGGTGGGTTCCAGGGGGTTCCATTGGATCCGTCGTTGCTGTGTTCTGTGGCCGCTTGTTTGGCTTCGCTGGCTGTTCAAATTTTTATAAAGTGAGTTATCTGCTGGGCTGTCGTCTGTCGTGTGGCCCGAAGACGGCATTGCATAGCCATTGCCATTTGCCATTTGCTGTGGCCATTTCCCAGCTGCACTTGTTGTTCTTGTTGCACTTTCCGAGTGCATCGCTGCATCTGTGCTCCGGTGCCCCCCGGTGCCCCTCTGTGTGCGACATTTACCGCTATCATTGCCTCAGCACAGCTGTCACTCGACTGCCCGTTATGTGTCCTTGAAAGATCTCTAACTGGCTAACTGTTTCTGATGCTCCACAGGCTGCTGCTGTTGCTGTTGCTGCTCCTTCCCACCTGATGGCACATCTCCAGCAATTGTCTGTGCAGAAATTATAATCCCATCAGCAGAACTGCTGCTCCATCACTGCTTCTGCTCTGCTTCTTCACTGCTTTTGCGCTGCTTGCCCACTGCTTCTGCTCTGCTTCCCCACTGATTCTGCTCTGCTTCTCCACTGCTTCTGCTCTGCTGCTCCACTGCTTCTGTTCCCTGATCGCAGCAACGTGGTTTCCTTTGGTATTGTTTGTCCTGCCCAAACTGCTGGGCCCCATCATCCATCATCCATACGTGGACGTGACCCACGAGAGTGTCGTGTAACACAGATTTGCGATTGTTACATTTATATTGCTCCGCATCCGGACAGCTTATAAGTGGCTGTGAGTCGGGTCGAGTGTGAACTCTGATTAGATTGGGGATGAGTGGATAAAGCAATCCAAATTGTGACACCCTTAAAGCAAGACTAGAGCGGTACAAAAGCTGCCAATGCTGTGCAGGAAGTACACCCCACAAAGTGTATCGAAATCTATTCTTTAATATAATGCAAGCCCGTTGCCTCTTCTCCTTTAACTTCTGTATTCCAGCTGTAGTGCCACAGTCAACCCACAAGTTTCCCAAATAAATCTCAATCACACATCAGCAGCCAGCGCTGTCAGCGCTGTTGCATAGCGGCTTAGACATCCTACCTGGGCAGGCATCATCTTCGATTGCGATGCACTGCCAAGGGGAAGGGGCTGTTGGGTGGCGTGGAGAGAGGTGGAGAGATGTCAAAGTCGATGTCGCTGTCGATGCCACTTGCTGTACTCGCAAAATGTGGCAAAGAGGCTGAAAACGGAGCGCAGAATGCAGCAAGCGTAATTGATAAAGACCGACAAATCCGCTGATGGCTATGTTAATACATACGAGAATGCTGGCAAGGAGGCGGATCAATGTCGTTGGCAAACGATCTTATTGATGGCAGGAAGACAAAGACCTAAGATTGTCGGCTAATGCCATGCATTCTGGTCACAGTCCCAGTCCCAGTCGCAGTCCGTGCCCTGGCACTGGGACGCGTGCAGAACCTGTTGCAGTGCCACACAATGTTGCTGTGGCAGACAGGCTGCCATTTGTAGCTGCTATTATTGAGTCGCGTTCGATTTTTAGAATGATTATCGCCATTACAGGAACTGTTGTTGCATCTTTTGTGATTGCGGTTGGCCGATCTGATCTGATCGCAGCTACTGCAACTAAAGCACAAAAGGCAGCTAACAATGCAACTGCAACTGCAACAAGCTGGCTGCAATTAGGCTGGGCGTGGGATGGGGGAGATGGGAGATGTGAAGGGGGCGCGGCTGGGGCGCATAAATTGCGTTAGGATAATGATCGCGCTTTGGCACAGTAAATCGCATTTCGAAATGCAACGGACACCAGAGATACAGTTCGAATGTGCCCCCACCTGCCCGCTGCCCCAGCACCTGCAACAAGGCTGAACTGGTTCTGCAACAAATTTGACGCGCGCTGCTACAAATGAGCGAGCCCCAAGAAAGAAAGAAAGAAAGAAGCACAGAAATCAGAGAATGAGAGGCAAAAGAAAGCTGAAGGAAAACCAGTAGAAGGCCAGGCCGGCCAGCGTATCAAGCACCGTTTTGGCCACGCATGCTGGGGCGCCATTTAAATTGAGATTTATTGCTGCTGGCCACTGCTGCTGCAGGTGCATCAGCAACAACTTCCAACAGTCGCTGATGCAGCAGCAGAGACAAAACTGTAAAACGCTACCCGCTCTCGGCTTCGTCCTGGCCAGCGTTTTGTCGTGTGGCACGGCTGATATATAACAGCCAACAAATCGCCCAGCTCCGACCCGGCCAATGAAGATGAAGTTATTAGGCGACTTTACTCGTGGACGTGTTGCCGGAGCAAAATCTGAGCGCATTGCTTCACTCCGCTCTGCTGCTCTGGCCGCTCGGCAAGTGGCGGCAAGATTTAAAGTAATGACAATGCTTAGCAAGAATTTTAATTCAATTTGCTTTGATGGCAGGAAATTGCTCTTAAATATTGTCAGAGAAGATTTCCAGGCATCTAACAGGAATTAATTTGGAAACATACATTTGCCGGGCACTGTTAAAGCGAAAGAAATAATAAGGTTAAGCTCAGGTTAAGCTACGAAACTTTCAGCATTCACATCACAAATAATACTATTAAAAATATTCGAAATTCTCAAATAAAATAGCGCAGATATCTAATGTCTATTGGCTTTGGCTTTGTGCTTGGACAGTCATATTTATATACATTTAAGAATGGAAAATATACTTATTAAAGGATGTCTCTTGTTTTTTTGGGTGTACTCTTTGTTCTCCCCCATTTCCCTGTAACCCACGCGACCAACCTTCAGCCTGTCTACTTGGAGTTGCCTCTGTTCGCCTGATTCCTGCGCAGAATCTGCTCCCACTGAGCCGACGAGCGAGGTGCACGCCTGCCTAGTACTGCGTTGTATGTGGCTGCATTGCATGTGGCTGCGTTGCTGGAGCTTGTGGCAGCTGTGGCTTCTTCATTTGAACGGTTTTGAATATTTTCCGCATTGCTGGCGGACTTGCTGGCCGCCAGGGCGATGAAGCTCTCCCTGAGCGAGAACGTAATGGGCTCCGCATCCACGCCCGCCATCCACTGCTTGGCCGTGATGGCGGCCTGCGCTGCCAACGCATTGGGGTAGATGTCCTCCTGGAAGTGATCGGCCTTGCGTGGCGCCATCATCGACACCACCTGGCAGTGGCCGTTGCTCTGCAGCCGATAAAACTTGGCCACCTCGCAGGCGGTGATGTCGCAGCCCCGTTTCGGCATCATGGCAATGCCCCGTTGCGGCTCCGTCGCCTGGTATGTGTTCACGTAGTGGACGTATGGCGGCTCCGATGTCACCTCAAAGTACTTAATGACAACGTCCCCCTTGCCGCACAGATATATCATGTTGGTGCCCGGATCGTAGAACGGGAACAGGACACCACTGGCCATGTCCAGGTCGGCCTTGGCAATGGGCGCGTGCAGTGCGTGCGGATCGCGCAGCGTGTACTGGCGCCTCGAGCCCCGGGTGAAGCCCGTCGTGAAGATCTGGCCCGAGCGCAGATAGATGGCGCGCGACGTTCTCGCGCTCTCGTGGCACTCCGCCTCGCTCTCCAGTTGGGCGGTGCGCGGATCGAATATGCGGATCTTCTTGTCCCTGCAGGTGGTGACCAGCCTCGAGCCGTTCCAGTTGAAGCTGGCACTGTACAACACCTCCGGATGGGCGTCAATGACGACCAGGATCTCGCCCCTGGCCGTGTCCACATTCCAGATGACGACCTTCTTGTCCCAGGCGGCGGTAAGCAGAACATTTTGGGCCGTGGGATGCCACAGCAGCAGGCCCACTCGACGCTGATGGTAGTCCAGATCGACGGTGGGTTTCTTGAGGGTCATCTTGAGACCGCCGTCTGGTATAGTCCACACCTTAACCGTACAGTCATCCGAGGCGGAGGCGATCAGATTGTCGTTGTGGGGACACCAGGCGATATCGAGCACGGGACTCTTGTGGCCGGACACCAGCGGATAGTCGGGCGGAATGCGTCCAGCATCACCATGTGGCAGCACAATGAACGCTCCACCGCCCGACGTTTCCAGAATAATGGCCACAAACTTGGGATTGACGGTGCACAGAGTGGAGTCCCAGCTGGACTTGGAGACGCGTATGTCCTCGAAGCCCTGCTCCCGCTTCAGCCCCTGTCCATAGACATGACGAAATTTGGAGCAACGTATCAGTCGCATCAGTGACATCACTGGGCCCCGACTTCTTTTGGTAAGTTACGGAAATTTAGGGAAATTTTCCACTTCGAATTTCGAATTTTCAATTCGAAAATTGAATCGAATTTGTTTAAAAAATGATCACGACGAACTCTAGAGAAATAACTTAAAATAAAACTGCTCTGGATAGCTCGAGTGCTAGAAAAACTTTGAAATAACAGAGTACCTATAGCTACATAAATAATGACAATTATGTTTACAGATCTGCTCGCCTACTTGTGCTATAATGAAACTATCTATCCTATCCCATAACGAAATAACTCTACCCGTACTCAAAAAAGAGTTAAGGGGTATATTAGATTTGTGGTAAAAGTGGATGTGTGTAACGCAGAGAAGGAAACGTTTCCGACCCCATAAAGTATATATATTCTTAATCAGCATCAATAGCCGAGTCGATAGAGCCATGTCTGTCTGTCCGTCTGTCCGTCTGTCTGTCTGTCTGTCCGTCTGTCTGTCTGTCTGTCTGTCTGTCCGTCTTGTTGAGCGCCTAGATCTCAGAGACTATAAGAGCTAGGGCAACCAAATTTGGTTTCCACACTCATGTGATATCACACTGCTACAAGTGTATTTCAAAATTTCGTCCCGCCCTCTTCCGCCACCACAAAGGACGAAAATCTGTGGCAGGCACATTTTTAAAGATACGATAAAACTAAAAACGCAGTATCGTAGAGAATGCCCATATCTACCAGATTGCCGAATCTAAATCAGATCGGATCATAATTATAGCCAGAATGAAGAAATTAATTTTCAGTTGCTTCCCCTGTCCCTCCTCCAGCAAACGGCAACGCAACTCATTTTCCTTCCGCTTCGCTGCGTTCGGCCCCCCCGGCGACATTTCCATCTACGTAGCGAAAAAAATCATAAGATAAAATACTGACACGCGTTCAGTGCGCGAGCAACTCGCCCTTTTTTGATGGAACTCTACGAATATACTTTTTCTGTCTGAACTAATTTGAAGCACAATTATTGTTCGACGCCGCTTTATTGTGCCTGAAAATGACTTGCTTGCAAATTGTGTTTAAGCGTTAAATTTTTATAATATTTCTCTCTCTATCAAACCGCTTTAATGTACCGAATTAATTACCTTAGCCCTCATTTTAGTACATAGCATTTGATTGAAGAACTCTTGCGATTTCTCTCTTGCAACTTTCAAATTACAAAACCACATGAGACTAAGTGCAATTTTCTTCAAAGAAAAATGTATATAAATAGCACAGCTTAAAGAATTCGAAACACTATTGGCAGTAAAAGAAACCACTCAAATTAAGTATCAACTTTAGCTATTTCCATGAAATTTTACATACGAGAACCTTTTTCTTCCGACAACTGTCTGATTGCAGATCATAGCATAAATACAATAAATGGCCAACTTATTCCATTTTTTTTTCCGTGGCTCCTAGCCCAGTGTGCCCCACACACAAACACACATACACACACACACACACAGACATACACTCATATTTAATTGCAATTGACATTGATTAGCATTTGCACGCCAATGCAGCGCGGGGTGTTAAGTAGCCAAAGGCATCTAATGAGTTTGCCATGTGGCAAAACATAATTTCTGCATGTCAGTCACTCAGTCGGTGAAATGTGATGGGTAGCAGGAGGAGGAGCAGCAGAGCAGAGCATCAGATGGATCCGTTGGAGGAGGAAATGGCGCAAAAGTGTGTTGTGGTATGGGTGCGTTGTCAATGTTGGGGCTAATCCTGCTCATCATCTACATCTACAGTTGCCAAGCACGAATGCGATTTTGAAAAATCACCAGAACCGGTTTGTCACCATTTGACGGAAAAGTCTTTGCTGCTGCTGTTGGATGTTGGCTGTTGGCTGTGGTTGCCACTGATGTTGGCTGCTGTTGCCTGGCTGGCACCTGCTGATTTTATCCTGACCGCTTGGCCGCTTGGCCATTTGGCTGTTTGGCCGCTTGGCCATTTGCTTGCCTGAGACTGTTCGGGGCTGCCTCTCCATTTGATTGTCTGCCGTTGATTGCCGCTGATGTTCTGCAGCTGTGTAGTCGTCGTCGTCGTAGTCGTCTTTGGTGCCTGCTGGAAATTAAGTTGCTGCCTGACAACATTTACATGCTGGCAACTGGCAGCTTTTGATGTTTTAATGATAAGATTTGCCCGATTGATTTTTCCTGGGTGTCGAGGCTGCTGTTGGACCATCCCATCCGCTATCCACATCCCCCATCCGCATCCCATTCCATCCAACACCTTTCAGCAAAAAGTGCAGGGAAAATGTGGCACAAAAACGTGCCACAAAAACAGATTGGGCCTCAACGCCTCCCCTGCCCCCAAACAAGGTCAATGGGTTAATGCGGCATCAGTCGGGATTCGGTAGTCGCAGACCACACGCCCACCTTGTGGCTGGATTACGATAATTGCCTCTGCCAGCCAGCCGGCTGCTGCTGCGGCGGCGGCGGGTCCTCAATCCGCAGTGCCAGTCCGCAAGTGCAACTGTAAGTGCCACCGTTTGAGCTGGCGGCACTGGAAGACGATTGACAGCGGTGCTGGAGCTGCCACTCAACGGCAGCAGACGCCAGCGCATGTTGGCCATCAAATGTCTAGGCTAAACATTTAGATTAGACGACGACGAAGACGACGACGATGGTGAGGAGTCTTCCGTGTTCCGTCAGGAATGCTCCATTTTTATGGAGCAGCAGCCAGAGAGTGGACGAGAACAATCGACGCGACGATGGGGGCTAATCTAGTTAAATTGTTGCATGCAACAGTTGCACACAACACAGATACAGATACAGATACGGATACAGCTACACGATAGCAACAGCAACAGCAACAGATACTCGGATAATTTCGTTGAGCTAATTGCGAAAAGTGCTCCCGTGGCCCCCCACCCGACAGACAAGTGAAAGACACGCGGGGAAGGGGCACGTGCAGCGGCCAAACTGGCTCCCGAACTCCTCGATTAGGCCAATCCACCCATGCCAGGCTGAACCGTTGGCCATTTATGTAAGTGACACCTACGTGGAAGCCGCCGGGAGGCAGGCAGGCAGCAATTGTGTTCCCTGGGCCCACAAATAATAGCTTCATTGGGCAGCCAGGCAGCCAGTCCGTTGCAATTTCAATGCCAGCGGGCCTCGGCACTGGCCTGGCCCGGCCAAAATGGGCAACCATGTCGGCGAATGGAATCTGGTCTGAAATTTGCATTGTCTTTGCTCTGGCCAGAGCAGAGCCTGGGCCCGAACCTAAAATGGTCGTTGGCATTGCCTGACATTATTATGCTGCCGATGCCGATGCCAGTGCCAGTGCCACTACTGAGGCTGATGCTGATGCTGATTCGGCCCCCTAATGGCTGCGCTTGGGCATTTAAATGTCCATCAATTTATCAATTAAGTTTGCAACTAAACAATTAATTGTCATCCAGGACCCTGGGAAGCTGACTCCTCTCCGCTACTCACTTTGGTCTCGGCATTGCTTGCTCACTGCCCCGCACAAGTATCTATCCATATGGAGCAGGGCGGCGGCGGTTTTATGGCCGCGACGTTCCGACATTTACTAACCATTTCACTTGGCAGTCCATCCACAAATTCGCATCGACTGCCGCCCAGAATGCAGGTGGCAATAAGTGAAGAGGGGTGGGGTGGGTAGGGCAGGGGGTGGGAGAATGTGCATAGTAAAAATTTGTTGAGCTTGTCGCTTGAGCGGAATTTATGGGCCGTGCACATGGCGCCAAAAGGTAATGTGGGAGACCAGGTAACTGTGACAGGCCGCCGCCTGAAGGTTATGCCTGTGCCTGTGCCTGCCCCTGTACCCCCCTGGCTGTGGCCCAAACTGCAACGGAACGGCCGCCACCCACACCCTACACAAGTGTGGGGTGGCAAAGTGTTCAAAATTACTAAAGCCGCTTATGGAGAATTCATGCATGCGACGAGTATTTGTTGCAACTGTTTCGCGTTCTCTGTGTGGCACGGCGCGTTAGCGATGCGTTCGTGAGCTGCCAAATGGCACACAGCGGTGGGTGGGTGGCAAAAGGGTTTTGCATGGAATATATCATGGATATTTCGAAGATAGTTTCTGCTTATACTGCGGGTAAGTAGGGGCAAGTAAAGGTAAAGCTAAAGATAATAAGTGTGCTAGTAAATTAATAATCTATTATTTGAGTTTGTAATATTTGTTTGCTGTTAAAAGTATTTAAAACAAACAATAGAAATTCTGCAATAAATAAAATTATGATTGCTTATTATTCTTAACATAACGATGGCCAATAAACTTATGCATGAATGTTACACTGAGAGTGTGGGGATCATCAAGTGAGCTCAATGCTCCCTTTGAGCAATTTCATACTGGTGGCTATATGTATATTCATATCTTATTCAATAAACTTTTGCAAGTACACACTTCATATTCACAAGCATCGCTGCTTTAATGTCACCCACTTCAAATGCCATTGACAGAAAGTTATACGAAATTACAAGAGGGGCAGGAAGTGCCTTGTGGCTGGGGCTGTGGCTGCCACTCATACAGCGCAGAAAAATATACATATATGAATATTGCTGGGTAATCAAATGCATTCATTCACTTATCCCAGTCGTTTCTTACATTCAGTCAGTGAAATTGCACTGAAAAACTTAAATATTTCTGTACAGCTAAGCCAAGTAGTTCACTTTTTGTGGGAAAATGAATTAATAAGGCTATGGAAGATGTGTAAATTTCCATGTGCAACTTCTTGCACTGCTGCGAAGTTTCGCTGGAGAACTAATATATATTTGGAGTGTGTTAGAAATGTCACTTTTAATCGCTTAATTCTACGCTCATTCTGGCATTATAAATCTGATATTTTGATGTCTTTTCCTAGCTGCTGCTACTCACGCATTCCTCTCCATTTGGCCGCTTTTTACGTTACCATTATTATTTTTGTTTGCTTTTCTGGCACAGTAGTTCAGTCTAGGGGTAAATGTCATAAGTTAATTAGATTAAATTGCAGCTGCAATATTGTTACATGTTCGCCTGCCTGCCTTCCGATCCACTCCATGTCATTCTGACATTTTCTGCCTCCTGCTCTGTTCTGCCTGCTCTGTTCTGTTCCCTTCCTTCGTGTTGTCTTTTCTTACTATTCATTTCTCGTTCTACTCTGCTGCTGCCGCTGCCGTTGTCAATGTCAGTCGCGTTGCATACTTTGCGGCTGTCGCAGCTCAGGCAC